TATATAATTTACCTCCTCATTAATGACAAGGGAGAAATGTAACATAGCTTTTAAGATACTAGTTACAACCATGGACCACGCATTGCACATTCCTTTTTAACATGGGATTATGATAAATGATAGGGTTGGATCATAGCTGCCATCATGCCTTTTTAAACCAAGGATAATGGTCAGCAAATAGTTGAAGGGCCACTTTATTGCCTTTGCCCCAAGCAATTTCCCCTTCTTCTTTTAAAATGTATGAATACATCATATAAAAGCAAACAAACTTCAGAGTTACAAGAAGACAAAGATTGCACTGGAGGGCACCATGAAACTTTGAAAGCTTCTTTAAGCTATTGATCACTCCTCAACATGCAGCAGCTCCTGTTGGCATATAAAAGCTGCAAGCTCTCCTTCCACTATCATCATTCCAGATACATATTTTTTTTAAAAAAAACAGAAAGTCACTAGTGACCTCAAAAAAAAGCATACCTTATATAATAAGTGCATCCCTGGAGAATTGTGGTATGAAGACCTAATATTATTGATCATGGACCAGCTGGGCCAAAATTAATAATATAGAGGAAGAAAATCATGTGACCCAAAGAAGCTCATTTACTACTTTCTAACAGCTTGCCTGGATTCCTTCTTAATAGCTTAGCTGACTATTTTCCTTTCCATAGTGCAGATTTTCTATGGCTAATTTCAGCAAAATATGCCTTTTTTTCTGCTCAGCTGTAAAAGGCATGTGGGAATCACTGTCATAAACTGTCATTTCTGTGCATGAACATGTGTTAGGAGTGACGGAACTGTCACATTCATTTCCACACACACACACCCAATCCCTTGTGGTACACCGCTTTCACTTGATAACACATTTTCATAGACAAATACGAAGGGGAAACACAGCATTGCTTTGTAATAGAGGGAAAAGACAGACAAATTTAATTAGAAAACTGCCTCAGAATGACAGAGATAACATTCTTGCTAGTCACCATAACTCAATACTTACAGTATGTGTTTTTATAAACCTCTTCCCTAAATACACCCTCATTGATTTGACAACTTGGCCATTAAATCATTAAAAAGTCACAATGCGTTAAATCAATGGACAATCTAGTCCAGGCTCCTGTTACTCAATCGTGGCCATCCCGAGGCATATAGGAATCCATCACAACTGCCAATAGTGTTGCTTTACAGATGTTCCAAAGCATTTTGGAGCAGAAAAAGCCAACTAGATATAGAGCAGGCACTTTTGATTCAATGCCCATCGATCCCAACATATGGGGAAACCTGTGAATTGTAGATGGGTCAGCGTGTCCATCACAGAACTATAAGCCTGAAGCCACATCTTGATTCAGAGCTGTTGGCAACACCTATGTATAATACCTTTCTCGTTCCACTTTTTAAGTCAGAGAACCACAGTCATCATCCTACTTGGAAGCAGCAAATTCAACAAAGAAATTATGGTCTGGGTCAAGCAAAAGCTTTTCTTTTCCATCAATGAAGAACCTATTTCTTAACATTCCTACTCCTCTAACAGAAAACAATTGGCCAAGTCTTCTCATTACAAATCAATTGATGTTTTTTTCAACGTTTTTGGAATTTCAATTATATTGGTACTTTATTGTAATGAATTAAATTCCATCTATTGCCATTATAACTGCTGTTCCTGATTATTACCTTCTCTACAATATCATTGCCGGTGCTGATTTTTCTGTTGCTTTTTAATATCTTTTTTCTACTTCACACATCAACAAGGAACATATTATCCATCTCTGTTGGGGTTCAGTTGCCCCTTTCCTAGGTAGGACAGCTTAACCATTATGCTCAGGTTACCATGATATTTTTTTTAGCAATAGCAATAACACTTAGACTTATATACCACTTCATAATGCTTTACAGCTCTCTCTCTAAGCAATTCAGAGTCAGCATATTGCCCACAACAAACTGGGTCCTCATTTTACTGATCTCAGAAGAATGGAAGGTTGAGTCAACTTTGAGTTGGTCAGGATCAAACTTCTGGCAGTCAGCAGAATAAGTCTAAGAATAGAACATTGCATTCTATTCATTGCAGTTCTTTTTGTGAAACTATTCTCATGTGTGTTTTCTCTTACTAGGTTTGAAGCTGCAGATGATGCAGAATGTTAAGTGGAGTGCTTAGCCATGCGTACGTCTCATCAGAGCTGACATAATTACTCCAGTTGCCAAATGGCTATTGACAAGTCAGGATACAAGAGATCCATTTTTCTACTTCTCTGGGATTTTCAGAAACCTTGCTAGCTATGCTGCATTTCAGAAGTGATTGGCATTCTGGGATTACTCAATAGTAAACTGCCCCTTGGCCTCTGGAATGCTGTTACATATGAATACTTGCTTTTCACCTCCATGTTTCTACTATGAAAAGCAATGCTTGCTTTTCACCTCCATTTAGTAATCATTTTCTATATGCTTCCATTGTTATATTTTTTAAAAAAATCCTAAGCACATGTGTTACTTTCAGACATTTTTAAACATTAGAATGTGATACACCCCCAAATGTGAACAAAACCCCAAAAACAACATCTTTCTAAATTCATTTAACACAATTTTGAAACTGAAGTGAACTTCGATCCGATTACAAAATGTAAAAATGCCATTAAGCAAATTTTTCTTCCTATCATAAATACTGGGAAGAAGGCTTGGGCGGCACATTTAGCCACAACAGCTATATAGTTCAAGGTCTTCTGTGTAATTCTGACTGTGCTAAAGTGACAGCTTTTCAAGAATATGACTGATTGGTCTTTTGAAAAGTTTCATATGGCCTATGCTCCTATCTGTTCCTTCAGGATTGAGTCATTTATCAAGATTATGGTGGAGTGACTCATAGGCTCTCCATCTAATACACTTACTTAATATTGATGGCAAGTTCTCACTACTTCCTCATTGCTTTGGCTCCTGAATCTAGGTATTATTAACTGGGGAACAGATGCATCAATAACATCAGCCTGCTTATTCCTCCGATCCATATTTGGACAACTGCAATCAACACATCTGTCAAGTATGAAAGACATGATCCTAGGTACCTTATAATGAAAATGTTCAAGTTCTCATGAAGGCTGGAGTTTCCTACATGGATTCTCTTGCTCAAGAACCTATATTACTCAGTTGGCAATATGTGCTTTTGTAGTATGGTGACTGGTTCATGGAAACACTGGTTGTCCAACACAAGGACTAGGATGATGTTACACAGATGTCAAGAGCTCCAATTGAAAGTTCAGTAAGACTAATGACTTACCAGGGAAGGTGAATGCCCTGGATTTATAACTTCTTATATGCATAATAGGTTCTTACTATCTTCTTGTAGAATAAATCTTTTGGATTGGCCAAGATTTACATAAACATAGTGCTACCAATCTGACTAGTCAATTAGTAGTGATGATACAATGTTAGAATGCTTATAGTTTTAATGATTTCAGTATAACTTTAGCATATATTTAGCACTGATGACGATTACCTACTTTAGTTTGATAATGAAACATCTGCAAGAAGACAACCAAGTTTAGAGAGCACTAAGGTTCCCATAGGTCAACTCTGAGCTATAAATATTCTATCAACTAGCATATATGAACTATAAAAATCCAGCTGATCATTAGATGGCAGCTAAGAAATACAAAAAAAATATACAACTTTCCTGCCATCTAATAGTTGTCAACAATTTTGCAGCCCCAACATGGTGCCTGTTTTATTTCATTACTTAAGAAACTAGAATTCTACTGGGCAAGTGTAGCAATTATAATGTTTCATTGCTTATTTTCCAAGTGATCTTGACTTTTTGACTTAGGTAAAAAAAAGGGTAGGGCATCAATTGCATGGTTGTAGGAAGCCTCTTGGCTTTTTTGCGCCCACCCACCCCTGGCGCAGCTGGAAAAAATGGTTGAAATTGACCACCTGGATATCATGTTGCCGGCAGATAGAAATATGTCAGAGGGGCAACTGGGTTAGCCATGTCAAGCTAACATGGCCACCGTATGATATTCATTCATTCTATAACCCTCTTAGGAAATTTCCATTCTTCTGGTATGCTGCTCTTCCACTTTCTTTACATAAAAGGTATATAGTAGTTTCCTGACACTTTTCCAGGGGAATCCCTGAATAGGAGAGAATTTCTGGAAGGCAAAAATACCTGATTCGGTCCTTTGTGACTAGACTGGCTAAAAAGAAAAGAAAGAGGAAGATAAGAGGATGGGGTAAGAAGAGAAAGATGATATATCTGTCTAAAGCAGATGCAATTGTAATTAGAATATAGAATAACAGAGTTGGAAGGGACCTTGGAGATCTTCTAATCCAACCCCCTTGCCTAGGCAGGAAACCCTACACCACTTCAGACAAATGGTTATCCAACACCTTCTTAAAAACGTCCAGTGTTGGGGCGTTCACAACTTCTGGAGGCAAGTTGTTCTGCTGATTAATTGTTCTCACTGTTAGGAAATTGCTCCTTAATTCTAAGTTGCTTCTCTCCTTGATTAGTTTCCACCCATTGCTTCTTATCCTACCCTCAGGTCCTTTGGAGAATAGCTTGACTCCCTCTTCTTTGTGGCAAGCCCTGAGATATTGGAACTCTGCTATCATGTCTCCCCTAGACATGGGGAGTCATGCAGGCCAGTTCTCCGAAATACTATTTTTTGGGGGGAAGTGAGTTCTTAAATGGAGATATGCATTTTCCTGACATGTGTCTAAAAAAAAAGAATTTTTAAAAGAAAAAAATGGCCTCTCTGACCTCTATTTACATTTTTATAGCACCATCCCTTAATGATGGGGGGGATGACAAAACTCGAGATGGCATGACAAGAGTGGTTGCAAAGTTTACAGCTGTGGGGCTAGTCCTGAAAAATCTAACTACTCCCAAAAAAGCTAAATGTGAAAGTTGAAGAGTTGGGAAGTATTAATGGTTTATTTTGAAGAAAAGATTGGAGTGGATTTTTCTCTTCTCTGCATGAAACACCAACATTTTATAGTCATTAATCAATAAAACTTACCAGAGGAAAAATGGGATCTCTTTGAACTGCCGATCGAAACATATAACTCCTGCATAGAATAAGGAGAGAAAATAAAATTATTTTAGCATTTCGGTTCTTTTGAAACATTTGGGGATTTTAATTTAATCTACATCTCAATGAATGCAAGGCTTCTTCTTTTCAAAAGTACAGAACAGAGGCTCCTATGCCCCCGAGTACAATCCAGGAAATGCAAAAGAACCCCTGAATGGCCTGCACCAACTTCACTCCCAATTCCATCTTCTTCAAAATCTTTTTCTGACAAGTCTGCTTTGCCCTCTTAATGGTCATCTCCCAAAAGGCTAAAGCTGAGTTGCTATGTTGTAAAGGTTTGAATCTTGTACCAACTTAAGAAGATCCACATTTGAAACATCTTCTTCTGCTAAACTGGGGGGGGGGATTATGTAAGATATGAATTTTGTCTATGTTTCTATGCAAGTGTCTGTTGTGAAACATTTTGTTCAGGAGGCCTGAATGGTTTTTAAACTGAATTGATTTTAATTTGTACTTATTTTTTTTATTTTTAGTTGTTTTAATAGTATTCTACTGACCACCTTTTATTCCTTGGTTTTAACTTGAAGGACCCATTCCTAGGAACTACTCAAAAGTGTTGAAATCAGTAAAACTAAAGTTACTTTAAGAACATCATTTAATCCCTCCTGCATATTTCAAAGCTATTGACTTGTAACTCTTTTCTCACCATCCAATTGAAGTCAAGTGGCGGGAAGGAATGACTAAGGCCTTCTTAGAATAATACTAAGACTCAAAGGAAAGATCAAGCATACAGTCCCAGAAATTAAGTTTAACTGATTCTTACAAGCTACATAGATACAATATAATTTCATAAAATTATATGCAATTGACATATTTGAGGGGCTGTCACAGAGAGGAGGGGGGGGGGNAGAGGAGTTCTGAAACATTCAGTGCAACCCTCAGATACTGTTCAAAAATGTTCACCATATTATAATTTTGTAATTGGTACATATGTTAAGTGAAGTTAATCATATTCTTTATCCTCAACTAAGTTGAAATTATATTTTCATGCTGGCTCTACTCATTTCTTTGGACAGTGAACTCTAGCATTTCTCCAGAGATTGTCAATATAGGTACATACCTGCTTTTAAGCAAATGATTGCTTAAAGTATTGTCTGAATCACCCATCAATACACAGTGATGGCTGATTCAGACAATACTTTAAGCAATCATTAGGTTGTTTGGTTTTGACTTTGTGAACCCAACTAATATAGTATGTGCAAAGATGACATGAAAGACTTTGGCTCATCATATTACTAGCCTTTCTACAGAAGCAAATTATTCATGATCCATATTTTGTTCTATAAAACACTGTTATGGCATGAACACCAGATGTTACTGTTTAAATCAGAGTTCTCCAACCTTACAGGTTTTGCGGACTAGGGGAGAGGGGATGGTTCAGTGCAAGCCATCAGCAAGTGTACACATGCTTGTAGCTCCATTGCATGAGTAGTGTGCATGCACATCCATTGCTCACACAAATGGAGTATGTATTTGTCCATTCCTCACACAAGTGAGGATGTGCATGTGTACCCCTGCACTCACCCAACATTTCCACAGCCAGGTTGCAAAAAGCTCACGCCCCTCTAGTGGGCTATGTCCCAGAGGTTGGGGACCCCTGGTTTAAATGTTTGGAATATTTCTTCTCACTTTAGAAATGGGGTATTTATTTTTAATTTTGAAATATACAGATACTTTCAAAGACATTATGTAAGAAATGCTCTACTTTTAGTATGGGAAAAAGTCAAAGCAAAAAACTATATGAAAATGCCAGTCTAGCTTTCTATTTTGGAAGCACTGATACATCCGAACGTTATCAACTTGAAAGAAATTGTAACATATAAAGACATTTTAAATGAAGAAGGACAGCTTAAAACTAAGCAGGAATTACAGAATCAAGGGGTGAATTTTGAATGGTGGCCACACCTGCAAATACAATCAAGATACGAGAAAGATGCAAAGAGTGAACAACAATTGATCAGATACTCTTAGGGACAGATGAAAAATTAATAAAGAAAATATATAGTTATTTATTAAGAATTAAAATGGAAGATGAAGAAGTGAAAGAAACAATGATAGTGTTACAAAAAAACTTTGGATATACCATAGAATTATGGACAGAAATTATAAATTGACAATGACGACTACCTACAAGGAAAACCTTTATAAAATGTTTTATAGGTGGCACTTGCCACCAGCAAGGTTAGCAAAGATGTTCCCAAACATGTCTGCTAAATGCTGGAAATGTAATCTCTTATCATCATATGCAGTGGACATGTCCAAAGGCAAAAACCTTTTGGAGGAAAGTACATGCATGTATGTATGATAAAGCAACACAGAGACCTAAAACCAGAAATATTTTTGTTAGGTACGATACCAGAAAACTATAATAACAGGACTACCTGTTTAATACTACACATGCTGACAACAGCTCAAATTATATTTGCACAATATTGGAAAAATGAGGATATTCCCATGGGTGAAAATATAATTAGAAAAATACTAGAATGTGCAGAGATGGATAGATTGACATTAGAAATGAAAGACAAGGAAGAATCAGAATTCTTTAACATGGGATTAGTTTTACCAGTGGTTAGATAAAAAAGGTAGAAATTAGAAGATAAAAGATTATTGCTATGTGTAAGTAAATGATGAAAGATTATTGCTACATATAAGTAAACATTATTATTATTGTTGTTGTTATTATTACTATTAGTACTATTAGTATTTTGTATAAGCAATCAACTCAGACAATACACTGTTCATTAAGCACTTATGTATATTAAAGAAAAAATGTATACATAATTTTCAAAAAAAGAATGAGTAGACATCATACTGATTTTAAATACTATGGTTTAGTTTGTGTGTCAGCCTAGAAACCAGGAGTTTGAGTTCTACTGCAGCCTTTGACATGAAAGCAAGCTGGTAACTGTGGCCTATCACTCTTTTTCAGCGTAACACACCTCATAGGGCTGTTGATATAGAGAAAATAGAAGATGGAGGCTCTCTTACTTATAAAAAATAATAACTGGGATCAAATATAATAAATGAATAAACAGTTATTTGCTCTGAGCTCTGTAAATCAAGCTTTCCTATCCATTTTTGGAAAGTCATGCAATTGTTTTTAAACAAATATTGAGGTTGTTAATTGGTTGTTGATAAAACTTCACCTTAGTTTTACTCTTGGATTTGTCTTGTTTTTTTTTTTCTTCATTTTTTTTTTCATTTTATTAAGGCTTATAGGCCGCCCTTTTCCCTGAGGGGACTCAGGGCGGCTTACAAATCATGGGATAGGGGAGTGCAAGACAAAAAAAACATAAAACTCTGCGTGAGTAATAAAAAAAGAAAAAATAACAATAAAACACAACTTTCATTCAGCANGTGTCGATGTACTTCCTCAATTCAGTCATCTCCTTAGGAGTCATAGAGTACATTTTTGGTTTTGGTAAGGCTGCCCCTGGTTTGAAGTCTATCCCACAGTCTGTGGGGCGGTGAGGTGGAAGGTAGTCTCCGTCTTCCTCACTGAACACTCCCCGCCAATTCCCAGTAGACCTTTGGCACTCGTTGGATCCCCGGGGGTTTGGTGTCTGCTGCAGGGGCTGCAGGTTCTGGATAGTTTGGGATGTTGGTTCTAATTGTTCTTGGGTGGAAGATTCTTAAAAGAACCGCTGCAGGCCTGACATCAAGATGATATCAGGGGTTTTATGAAATTGCCATTATATAAAAAGGGGTTGTTAGTGATTTTATGTCTCATGACAATGTATGTGCATCATTAGTAATATCTCTGTGCAGTGCAGGGGAACCTGACCGAGGTATATGAGAACAAACTAACCCCAACTCCCTATCTGCTTCCCAAAATATTCTCAGAATTCTCTATTTCCTATCTTAGGCATGATTAGTGGTAAATTTCCAGGATTGGCAAGAAATTGGACTAAATGAACTTTAGACCCTTTCTGGTTTTATTGGTTTTCTTCTTATTCTTGGTCATTTCAATTAAACATAATATTTTTCATCTCAATAAAGCACTGAAAGTTTTCCTATAAAAATATTGATGTACTTTTTCATATTTCTGTGCAGGTTAGTAGGCATGGACAGATCTCACATGTTCTGAGGTACAATGAACACAAATAATATGTTACTATTATAAGGACAAAGTAGCCAAAGGGCACCCTCTAATGTCAAAATACTAAGTATAATATTATTAACTCTTTAAGTGGATTAACTTTGGGGATGAAAGTGACAATTGGTTGTCAAAAACTAAAATTAATTTTAATAAATTGGAGTAAATAAAAAAAATCAGGCTAATTAATGGGCTGCTGCAAATATACAGTACCAAATGGTTACCCTACGTTTTTTCCTGAAAGGAAAAGAGGCAGCTGATTAGCTATTCTCTTAAGATCTTGTTTCCATTGTTACCTAGCATTTCATAGACATGGCAACATCTTTTTTCTGTCATGTTCACATGGTGTGTGGTCTCTTCAGCCCATGAATTAGACCAGCTTGATGTGTCATTAGCTTTACTGAGGTCCAAGAAGAGTTCCCTTTTATTCTAATACCAAAAAAAGCAGTTTCAAGGTGTATAAAATCTTTTAGGCTTTGTCAATTACTACATCAGAAGTAATAGAAGGACCAGAAGGATGATTTTACTGAAGGTGCCAGTAAAAGCAGAATAGCAATGGGAATGGCAGATTTCATACTAGCTTAGATTTAAGCCAATTTAGGGAAGAATGGAGATTAGCCATAGGGAAAGCATATGCAATCTGTGGGTTAGATTATTTCTTTTTCAACTAAGACCACAAGATTCAACAGTTACAACATAATTTTAAAAACTGAATAGAGTTTATACAAAATTCAAGTTTCTTCATTTTAGTGGTACAATCTAAAGCAGAGGTTTTCAAACATTTTAGATGATGGAATTTGTTTGTTTTTTAAAAAATATCCTGGAATAACTAGTCAAGAGTCAAAGCTCTAATGATAGAAAATTATCTGCATTCCTTG